AAGTGCCATCACCAAAGCTGTTTACTTCTTCCTTCATTCCATCCTTGTCCCACTCCATATTTTCAAATTTCCCAACTGGGCTTTTCTGCTTTCCCTGTTGCCTTGGTGCATTATGTCGTTCAGCTGCCTCATCCTTGCTTTCAAAAACCATTGCCAGCCTATCTCTTTGCCTTCCAGCTAAAGACTGTCGATTCCCAAAACATCTGTAAAAAACACGTTATGGTAAACAAAACAAATCTATAACTTAACCAACATTATTTTAGAGAAGAACGCACAGCTGGTATGGTTTAGTTGACAAATAATGCCCTAGGCCTAGTCTGTCCAGCTGTTCATCATCATCATCGGCCTCCTTCGGTCTGTGGTGACCATGGGTTGAAAATCCTAGTTGTCTGTCCTGCTGGAACAGCGCTGCCTGTGGCTGAACAGGCCGATGCGTGAATGGCAGTCTCTGTCACACAAGTCACACTTGTGGATTGTCTCTGTGCTGTGAGAGCGGTCACGTTCTTTTCTGCGGGCTCGCTTTTCCTCCGCAGCACCTTTCAGCTGCTCCTCTCCTGTCTTCAGCTGTGTGGTCGCTGTGCTTCTCCATCTAGAGCGGTCGTCGGCCAGGCTCTCCCAGCGCTCTGTGTCGATCTCAAGAGCTTTCATGTCCCTCTTGCAGACATCTTTATAGCGCAGCTGTGGGCGGCCAGTGCCTCTCTTGCCACTCGCCAGTTCTCCGTAGAGGATGTCTTTGGGGATACGGCCGTCCTCCATGCGGTGAACATGGCCCAGCCAGCGGAGCCTTCGTTGTCTGAGCAAGGTAAACATGGTTGGAAGGCCGGCGCGAGACAAGACTTCGGTGTTGGGCACTTTGTCCTGCCACGAAATGCCCAGTATGCGGCGGACGCACCTCAGGTGGAAGGCGTTCAGTCTTCTTTCTTGTTTGGCGTAGGTCGTCCACGTCTCACTCCCGTACAGTAGTGTACTGAGGACACAGGCATTGTACACTGCCATCCTGGTCTTGATGGAAAGTTTGGAGTTCTCCCACACTCGTGTGGTGAGGCGAGCGAGTGTTGTTGCTGCCTTCCCAATTCTTTTGTCCAGTTCTGTGTCCAGTGAGAGGTTGCTGCTGATCGTGGACCCCAGGTATGTGAATTCGTTCACGACTTCCAGCTCGTAGTCGTCGATGGTGATAGATGGTGGCACTTCCATGCTCTGTCCCAGTACTTTGGTCTTCTTTAGACTAATAGTAAGCCCGAAGTCCTTGCAGGCCTGGGAAAAGCGGTCCATCAGGGTCTGGAGCTCCTGCTGTGTGTGTGTTGCGACTAGCAGCATCGTCGGCAAACAGCATGTCGCGGATCAGGGCCTCTCGTACTTTGGTTTTGGCTTTGAGGCGGGCAAGGTTGAACAGCTTGCCGTCGGATCTGGTGTGTAGATAGATCCCCTCTGTTGATGAGCCGAAGGCGTGCTTCAGGAGCAATGCAAAGAAGATCCCGAAGAGAGTCGGGGCGAGGACGCAGCCTTGTTTGACGCCGCTGCGTATGTCGAATGGCTCCGAGATACTGCCGTCGTACTGTACAGTTCCCTTCATATCAGTGTGGAAGGATTCAACGAGGCTCTGCAGCTTTGGGGGGCATCCTATCTTCGGCAGGATCGCGAATAGGCCTTCTCTGCTGACCAAGTCGAAAGCCTTCGTCAGGTCAATGAAGGCAACATACAGCGGCATGTTCTGTTCTCTGCATTTCTCCTGGAGTTGGCGGAGGGAGAAAATCATGTCTACCGTTGATCTGTTGGCGCGAAAGCCACACTGGGACTCAGGGTAGACGCGTTCGGCGAGTTTCTGTAAGCGAACGAGGATGACGCGCGCGTACACCTTGCCAACTATGCTGAGGAGAGAGATCCCCCTGTAATTGTTACAGTCGCTTCTTTCGCCCTTGTTTTTGTAGAGGGTGATGATCTTGGCAACCCTCATGTCTTGAGGTACAGCACCTTCCTTCCAGCACTGGCAGAGGACTTCGTGCAGTAGACGCAATAGGGTAGTCTTGCAGTGCTTGATCAGGTCGGGTGGTATACCGTCACTGCCTGGAGCTTTTCCTGCGGCCAGGCTGTCAATGGCCTTATTGAGCTCATCCAAGGTTGGCTCCGCGTCGAGCACGTTCATGGTCGGTAGGCACTCGATAGCATCAAGAGCTAAGGGGGACACTGTGTTCTGTCTGGAGTAGAGGTCGGAGTAGTGTTCCACCCATGTCTCCATCTGCTGGCCCTTGTCTGTGATGGTTTCCCCAGTGGAGGATTTGAGGGGTGCCGTCTTGCTCTGAACTGGGCCCAGTGCCTTCTTGATGCCATCGTACATCCCTCTGATGTTCCCAGTGATGGCGGCAGTCTGAATGTCTTCACTTAGCTGCATCCAGTACTCGTTGGCGCAGCGCCGTGCCGTCTTCTGGACTTTGCTCCTTGCAGCTCTGAGGATCTGGAGGTTCCTCTCGTTTGGGGTCCGCTTGTACTCGGCGAGAGCAGCGCGCTTGGCTTCGATGACAGGGGTCATCTCAGTCGTCTTGGCTTCGAACCAATCATGCGACTTGGTGGTTTTCTTCCCAAAGGTAGTCAAGGCTGTGTGGTGTATGGTGTTTCGCAGCTCCTCCCACCTCTTCGTTGCAGATTCCTCGTGCCTCAAGGTGCCAAGCTCCTTCTCAAAGGCGGCGGCAAACTGCTCCACAAGTTCTGGTTGGGCCATCTTGCTGGTGTCAATGCGTGCCTTTCCTTGCTGTCTGGCGCGGTGGAATTTCTTTGGCTGCATCCTGAACTTGCAACACACCAGTGAGTGGTCTGTGTCACAATCCGCACTCTGGTAGGAACGGGTCAATAGCACGTTCTTCAGGGAGGTGCGTCTGGTCAGGATCATGTCCAGCTGGTGCCAGTTTTGGAACGCGGGTGGTGCCAGGAAACTTTGTGTTGTGGCTTGGTCTGGAAGTAGGAGTTGGTGATGCACAAGTTGTAGTACGTGCAAAAATCTAGTAGACGCTGTCCGTTTTCATTCATCTTGCCCACACTAAATTCACCGAGGCAGGACGGCCAGGAGTCATGATCGGCGCCCACTCTGGCGTTGAAGTCGCCAAGCAGAACTAGTTGTTCTGTGCTGGGGATATTCCTGACAGTGGCTGCTAGGTTCTCATAGAACTCATCCTTGGCTTCTGGGGTAGCGGCCAGCGTTGGGGCGTAGACACTGACGAGAGTGACAGGGCCTTCAGTGGTGTTAAGGCGGAGAGTCAGGAGTCGCGCAGAGCCATTGCTGCCTGGTTCAACCATCTTCAGCAATGTATTCCTAACTGCAAAGCCCACTCCGTACTCCCTGGGCTCGTTGGAGCCCTTTCCCTGCCAGAAGAACGTATAGTCTTTTTCTCTCAGTGTGCCCGAGTCAGCCAGTCGTGTTTCCTGCAGGGTAGCGATGTCTACGTTCAGTCTCTTCAGCTCGTCGTTGATGACGGCGGTCTTCCTGGCGTCGCTGATGTGTTTGAGGTTTTCTGCGAGGCCAGTCATCATAGTTCGTACGTTCCAGCTTCCCAGTTTTAGAGCTGGTATTTCTCTTTGTTTTGTTATGCCTGGTGCGAGATTTGCAGTCTACCGTTCAGATTTCTCCTAATCCCCATGCACCCAATGGGGCAAGCAGACCGTGGCGGGACAGCACCTTATTGGCTGGGGGCTGCCCAGCTTGAGGCGGGCGATAGCTGTCCAATAACATCCGAAAATGCCTCCCACCGTCGAAAGCAATCTCTGGCGCAAAGCTCTACGCCAATCGAGCGATGACTTATAACCGGTATCTATTGCTTCCCGTGTTGTGTCGACGCCGAGGGCGAAGCTGGAGTGTCCAGTGTATGGTCTGGGTTTTGGTACGTTGTGGTAGGATTCTAGCCTGGGCAGGATGATATGGAGGACGGGCTGTTGCCCATGCAGCGTGTCCCCCCTCTCCACGTCGTTGGTGGATCCAAAGGAACAGCAGGCTGTTACAGTTTGGCACCAGCGCCCTCGCAGGAGCTGCCAGAACGAGGTTGAAGCTAACGACGAACTGCCTTAGGGGCTCCGACTCCGGATTTTTCCTCAGGGTTGACTCCCGAAGCCTTTCCAGTGAACGGGTATGCCGCAAGGCAGCGGAGGTTTGAAATCAGGGTTTTCCTTCCCCTAGGTGGACTGCCTTTCCAGGCTGTCGAGCAGTAGGAGCAGTCCCGCGACGAGCACGCCAGGAGCTGGACTTAATTGTCAGAGGCTATTTGAGCACGCACGCCATATGGGAGCATTTTATAGGTAGTGGGAGCTTATCCCCAATACCACCCCCGGCTATGACAACCTTGGAACCAGCTGTTATAGCTGTTATTATCGGCCGTCATCGCTGTTATTATCTCTTCTATATAGTAAAGCCCGCAACCGTTAATTTAAACAACTTACAGTTATCAATCATATATAATGTAAATGTATTCATGCTCTGCGATATAAATATTTAATTATTTATATGTTACTATATAATATTCATATATAGCCTACTCCCATAGTGTCTGATAAAAAATCAATCTCGGATTATTACCTGATCAAAGATGTCTTTTCCCACTCTTTCTCGACTGCTTGCTTAAATTTGCGGTAATTATTTCTTCTTGTTCTCTTTTTTTCGGCTAATGACTTTTTCTTTTCAATATCCAGATCTTTAACATTCGTCAGTGCTTTAACAAGGGAATGGCCAGTTATCTTTTCAAACTTGGGGTTCAACTGGTCGTATAGAGATTTTGCAGCTTCGCCTGCTTCACGAAGAGTAGTGTTACAGTTACGAGCTTGGTCCGGCAGTCTGACATCAAAAACTTCGTTAGCAGCGTTTAGGTTATTTTCCTTCAAAACGTTGAGGAATCTATTAGATTGTTTTTCAATATACTCCGCATTGTGGGATAACTATGCATACTTCCTGATTATCGGCAGTCAGCGGTCACACTTTAAAGCCATTCAAATTCAAATTAAGCAAACACATATAAGCCCCAGGTTACGATAATAAAGTCAGTTCTTCCTTTCGTGCCGTGTCAGCGTGTTGTAAGGTTTGTATGTTACCTTGTTTTCACAATTTTCACGTTAAACCTTGGCGGTTTTCTTTATCTAACGTTCATTTCTTGTCTTTAGAGATTGACTGTGTTATTTATACGTTATTTTTGTTGTGATTTCGTCCTCTTCGACTTAATTGCTCGAGCGTATCCTACGGTTATGTCGAAGTCAAACGGCAAGGCTCAAGAAAATCGAAATAGCGCTCCTGTACCGCATGAACCAACCGTACAGATTCTCAACAACGACTCTACGGACGAAATCGTAGATACAACACCAATGTTGGACATCGATATTGACCAACTAAAAGATGAGTTGGGACTTGGCGATATTCAAAATTCACTTAAAATTTTAAGTGACAAAATTATTCAAATGTCTAACGCAAATCGCTCTACCGAATCGGTAGCAGGGTCAAACTCATCTGAGTCTTCACAGTTTGATCCCTCTGGTGATCTCGACAATATAATCGACCCTCAAACTTCCAACGAAGTAGATATTGCAACACACGCACTTGACTCAAGTACGTTCTTGCCCTCTATATTTGAGGAAACCGAATCTGTTGGCCCGGACGTTGCCGATGCTATTGCCCAGAGAATAAATGATGCTGTATCTAAGAAGCCACTTGAAACAAAGTTTAAAGAGCTTCAAGATAAGTATAAAACACCTAAGAATTGCCATTTGCTGTGTGTACCTCGAGTGAACCTCGAATTATGGCACGATCTACCGCGTCACACCAAGTCTAAAGATCTTGGACTTCAAGAAATTCAGAAAATTTTGGTCAAGTCGGCCCAACCATTAATAAAGCTTTTGGATTCTGTCCTAAAGTCTAGGCTTGAAAACAAGCTGGTCGAGCCATCTACTATTCTTCCTATGGTTGCTGATGCAGTCACTCTATTGGGCAATGCCTCGAAGAGACGAGAATTTCTCAGACCTGATATTGCACCTGCATACCAATCAGTGTGTAGTAAATCTAATCCCGTGTCAACTAATTTATTTGGTGATGAGTTGCACAAGCACATTAAAGAGATTGGAGAAGTTAACAAAATTGCTAGGAAAACCATGTCTCGTACTGCTGGCGGGTCGAAGCATAATTTTGTCTACAAAAGTGGCAGTAGCAACACTCGATACCAGCGTGGTGGACGTCGGGCTTTTTTAGGCTCAGAACGAGACTCAAAAGGTCCTTATCTGGAAAGGAGGCCTTTCATACACCAGCCTCATCCAACTGCCCAGGTGTTCAAGGAAGCGAAAGATCGTCCTTAACACAGGTATCTACTCAAACTAAAAATTCCAGTTGTAAATTTGTAGCTGGTAACCTCAAATCGCATGTTAACAAATGGCGTGAGCTTACCAGTGACCCTTGGGTGCTGAAAACCGTGACTGGATATCACTTAGAGTTTGATAACACGCCTTTTCAACCTACATTACCTAACTCACCTCCGTTTAATGCAACAGATATTTGCTTAATTGATGCAGAAATTGATAAGCTTCTACAGAAAAAAGCAATTAAACGTGCTATTTCCAGTCCAGAAGAGTTTATTTCAAATCTCTTCCTAGTCCCAAAGAAAACTGGTAAAATGCGCCCAGTTATAAATCTAAAACCATTAAACCAATTTGTTCAAAAAATCCATTTCAAAATGGAGAATGTTCATTTAGCATTGAATTTAATTTCAAAAGGCGATTATATGATATCTCTTGATCTCATAGATGCTTATTTTAGCATCCCTATTGTCGCTCATCATAGAAAATATTTACGATTTGTTTGGAAAGTTACAAAGTACGAATTTAACTGTTTACCATTTGGTTACAGTCTTGCGCCAAGGGTTTTCACGAAAGTTCTCAAACCTGTGATATCGTTTCTTCGGTTACGTGGTTTTAAGATCGTAATCTATTTAGATGATCTTTTGCTTGTTGCAAGTTCAAAACAAGAGTGTTTAGCGCAAACTTATGTTTTTACGCCAGTTGTTGGAAGACTTAGGCTTCGTTATTAATGATGCAAAGTCGCATCTTGAACCAAGTACGCAGATAAAATTCTTGGGTTTTAACATTGATTCTATAACGCTAAAACTCTCTTTGTCAGAAGACAAGATACAGAAAATTGTTCTAGCCTGTTCAAATATTGTTGCAAGCAAACGCCTAACTATTCGGCAGGTCGCCCATGTTACCGGGCTCTTAGTTTCCGCTTTTCCAGCAGTATGTTATTTAAAAATATATTACAGGTCCATTGAATTATGTAAGTCTGAAGTACTATCTATCACAAATGATTTTGAGCATCAATTGTCTTTAAGTTCCGAAGCAATTTCTGATTTGAATTGGGTGATCCAAGATCTTGCCAAGTTTAACGGCTGTTTTTTTGGACCGAGACCAATTGATATCATGATTGAATCAGATGCTAGTTTGTTGGGATGGGGAGCCACATGTGGCCTCCAACCAGCACAGGGGTTATGGTCTAAATTAGAGGCCTCGAATCATATCAATTATCTAGAATTGTTGGCAGCCTTTTATGCCTTACAGACGTTTGTATCCGATAAACGACATGTCCACGTGCAGTTAAAGCTTGATAACTCCACAGCCGTTTCATATATAAATAATATGGGAGGTATTAAATCTAGTCTTCTTAATTCTCTCGTACGAGACCTATGCGAATGGTGTATCATACGGAACATCTATGTTCACGCTGAATATATTCCGGGTAATATGAATACCACGACTGACGCTTTGTCAAGGAGGTTTAACCCAAATTTAGAATGGTCATTAGATCGAACCATATTTGACAAAATTGTTCGTCTTACCTTTACACCAGATATCGACTTATTTGCCTCAAGCCTTAATGCCAAAGTTGATCGTTTTGTATCATGGCACCCAACAAATGGCGCTGAAGCTATCAATGCTTTTAGTATAAGTTGGTCTAATTTGAAATGTTATGCATTTCCTCCATTTAGTCTGCTACCTCAGGTTTTGAAGAAAGTTTGTGTCGATCGAGCCTTGCTCTTACTAATAGCACCCGTATGGACCACGCAAACTTGGTATCCTCTCCTTCTCCAGCTGTTGATAGACACGCCAATATTGTTACCGAAAAAAGACAATCTTCTCCATCTACCTCAGAGCACAATCCTTCATCCCATGAGAAATCATCTGGTTCTAGCCGCCTGGAAGTTATCTGGAGATCCCTTGAAAGTAGAGGCTTTTCTGAGCCGGCAGCCAAACTCATTACCGCATCGTGGTCACGAGGAACAGATAAACAATATAACTCCGCATGGAAAACATGGTGTCGCTGGTGTGAACAAAGAAAAATTGATATACTTCAAGCATCTATAAACGAAGTGCTAAATTTCCTGTCTGATGTTTTGAGAAAGGGAAAAGTTACAGCACTATCAACACATTCCGCTCTGCATTGTCAACTTCATTTTCTCCTATCAATGGAATCGCAATTGGATCACATCCTCTGGTAACCAGACTACTGAAAGGGATTTACAATCTCCGCACTCCAGCTCCTCGATATTCGACCACGTGGGATGTAACTACGGTAACGAGTTATTTAAGAACGTTGTTTCTTTTAGCGGAATTAAGCTTAAAGAGCTTGACGTTAAAAACTGTTATGCTTTGTTCTTTATCATCGGCTCAGCGAGAACAAACTTTATGTGCTCTAGATTTGAACAATCAGAGGGTATCTAATAACTGTTTGATTTTCAATATTACAGAACGTTTGAAGACTTCCAAACCTGGGAAGTCTATACAAGTTAAATTTGAGTGTCTACCTGAGGACCCCAAGATATGCACTAAGTGTACTTTGTCTGAATATATTTTGCATACTGAGTGTTTGAGAAGTACTGATCCAGCTAAACGTGTCACGAAGTTATTTATCTTCTACGTCAAGCCTCATAAAAACATTTCAACCGATACTCTAGCCTGTTGGATAAAATCTATTCTCAAAACCTCGGGTATAGATACATCGCTATTCAAACCACACAGTGTTAGAAGTGCTTCAACTAGTCGCGCTTATGCTCAAGGTGTTCCAATCGCTGATATTCTCCGCATTGCGGACTGGTCTAATGAGAAAACATTTAGAAAATATTATTTACGTAGTTGTGATCATTAGTGCTCCTTCCTATTGATTAATATGAATAAAATTGTTGTATGACCATGTCACTTTCGTTCAGATTGTTTTACATGGATTGGCTTCGGTGCTATAAAGTCGCATAGTTATCCCACAATGCGGAGTATATTGAAAAAGAATTTAAAATTAGACGAAAGGTACTTACCTTGAAGTATGATTGTAATTCTTTGAGATATACGGAGCATTGTGGGATGGCTTCCCACCCTCGTCTGTGTTAACGTGGAACGTTCTTACCCTACCCGAATATGGGACCTTCGCCAATTTTGTTTAACACTCCAGGAAGAACTGACTTTATTATCGTAACCTGGGGCTTATATGTGTTTGCTTAATTTGAATTTGAATGGCTTTAAAGTGTGACCGCTGACCGCCGATAATCAGGAAGTATGCATAGTTATCCCACAATGCTCCGTATATCTCAAAGAATTACAATCATACTTCAAGGTAAGTACCTTTCGTCTAATTTTAAATTTTACGGGAAATAGCGCTTGCATGTTACTGAATGTTAGCTGACATGGCCTACAGTCTTTGAATGTATGTTCAATTTGCATAGCCGCGGACAGTTCCTTTCAAGCTTTGATGTTAAACAGTGCGGTGTACTGATGACGCTCAGCGATCTTTCTGTAATTCCACCGACTGAATTTCTCACGAAGCGGGGGGAAAATTTCTTGAAATTGCCTAAAATTTAGAGGAAAGCTCTCCTTGCAGTTTTGAAATACATCCGAAAACCGGTCATATCTTTCCCGCATCAATCGCGCTTGAAAATCCTTCCGCGACTCGTCGTCTTCGCATTTGAAATTTTCATCTGCATCAACTTGAACCCGCGATTTGCCAAGCAACTCCTCGCGCGAAGCCGCACGTCAAAGGATGCAGGAATGTCCCACACATCGAGAAACGTATTAACCTCAATTTGATGAGCTGCGCACTCTATAATATAGCTAACTTATAAGTAATATTGTTTAGAGCGAAGGATTGTCTCCTTCACTGCTGTAAAAGGTTTTGCAAATTGCGCCTAAATTTCAAACTTGCTGATTTGCGTCACTGCAAATCTTGAGATAAGTCGATAATTTGATATAACCTACTTGAGAAACATAAATTTTTGTGGGTTTTGTCTCCAAATAATTAGATAAAAACACAGTTGTTAGTCCTCGTGTATATTCGAGAAACATATGACATTAAGGCACTATAATTGCTATGACATTCTTCGCAGAGAGCAAATAGTATATATAAATGCTGATTTTGTGTGCTGTTGTGTATCATTATTATAAATATGCTGTTACTAATGCCGTATGTCGATTATAGAGTATAGAAATTGCTATGAGAAGTCAACAGATTCTGCCGTGTTTTCTTATGCTCTTGTCCACCATATTGTTAAACGCGACTATTACCATGGAAATAACATATTTCCGTGCTTAGCCGCTGCATCTATCACAGAAACGCGCCGGCGCGCTTTCACAATGGCGATGAATATTTCTTATAATCACGCAAAATACACGTTCGACTTGCAGCAGGGTAATTGTAAGGTTTTTTTATTGTTTTATTGCTTTATACTATAAACAAAGGAACATAATTTCTTGAATGAATTCTGAGTACATTTTGTGAAGAATACCAAAAAATGAGACGATTGAATGTCGCATTTTGCGTACTATCGTCATTTAGTCTAACAAAATAATCAAACGAGATCTCAATGTCAAGTTTCCGAATACAATCTATTAACTTTAGTATGAGATGAAACTAAATGTAGCAATTCGGCAAAATTTAAGACAACTATTATACTGCTGCAGACCCCCTGAATAAAAGATACCATTTTGTGTGTTGTTTCGCCTTATATATGTCACGTGATTGTCGCCATGCCAACAACATGTTGCCCACATTCTAGGAACTGTCGTAACGAACAATGTGATACCCGAACGACAATTTTTGAATGATTAGCCGATTTTTAACAAATTTTCCCTTTTTCTTTCATATACAAAATGTGACCCAGGCATTAACATACTCGAGATTGCTCCATAAATCTGGAGAGTGATGTACACCAGCTGCAAACCATCTTAATTGGTCTGGTATAGCCTCAGCGTGAGCTGGCATGAGCTGTTCAAATGTCTGGTGAGGGATGTGCAAAAATATATACTGAAAGAAGTATTCATTATTGAATATGGAGAGAAGTTTAGCACCAAAAAGTGTAAGTCAAGATTTGTATTTCTTTGGGGGGTTTGCGCTTGTATCCATTGAACAAAGCAATTGCAGAATAGAGCTGTTATCATATTGTTGTTCTCGTCTCCAGTATTGGTTGGCGAGTTTGTCATCTATTACCGTATTACTAGTGGGAACTGCATAGCGTTTAGTTCTGCTTGATGTCCATGAAACCTTTTTAGAAAAGAGAGTGAACCACATTTCTGGTTCAGCTGGTTCATTTCTCAAAAGATGTATAATTGCTGCAAGTTATCTGCTCTCTGCGAATCATGAGACTTTGTTACATAAGACGAAACATAGTGTAAGAGCATTGCTACGCCGTCCGTTGTTTGGTAATCCATCCTACACTGTAGTGCTGGTAGGATAGTAGCAATGTATGCACGGATTATCAAGGCAAATTCTTGCGCTTGGTGTTTCAAATGATGAATATGTCTGCCATTTTTAACTTCAAAGTACGACTCTGTAGTCTGCAAATTTAGGCATGGTGAACGTTTATCGGATAGCTGCAGTTTATGAACTAGGTATGCAAGGTCTGGATGATTACGTGGGATATCTGCACACATCATATGATGCTGGGTTTTGGTTATGTCTTTTAACCAAACAAGCATGCATATGTAGATGCAGTGTGCTACGTTGTTGAAATTCAAATCGGTAGAAGTATGTTTTTACATTCTTCTCCTTAGCAAGACGATTGTAATTGAAAATGTGGTTTTTCCAACGTGAATCAGAAGAGCCACACAAATAACCTCGAACAAGTTGTTCTAGTACATGAGCAACATGATATGTCTGATAGGCTGCCAATTCAGTTGGCCCTTTTCTGGTTAATCCACGTATTTTGCTAATTCACTTTGGAAATGGAAATGTCCATTCAAAGGGACTTATGGTTATGAATACATCTGGGAGACCAAACTGGTCAACGGCATCGCCTAAATATCGATGTTGCCATTGCCAGTATATGGGAGAAAAAGGTTTGGTATCTAATCCACGTACAGGCGAGCATTTTGCAAACCTTGCAGTGTTAATGGTACCACTTACAACTTTGTAGATTGTTCGGTCATATTGCCATTGAAGCAGATCGAAATGAAGGGCATAATCACCAATGTTTGAAAACACCTTTTCACAGAAAGATACTTTACCACTCAGCCTACTGTCTTGTGCAGAATGTGTACTTTTTCACACCAATCAGTATATGGATAGAGATGGGGCCAAAGTGCGCATTCTATACCTTTTGTTACTTGCCAATCAAAACAATTTATTCTTTGATTTGAATTTATGAACCCTTCCCTCAAGTTAACGAAGTGTGAGTAGGATGAGTTTGTAAGACTCATAAGATGGTTGCATGCTAACATGCACATATGTATTTCTATCATTGTCATCTGTGATCTCACTTAATTTTTCAGGCACAGATTTTACACACAGTGATAAGGTTACCATTGCTCTCTTTATGCGGTATCCGTGTTGTTCACGTTCATATCTCCCGCAGTCTAATTCAAATGGCCTTAATATTAAAATGCGTTCAACAGATAGTTGTTTTAATATATTTGGCACATCGTTAAACTGTGGTACAATGTACCTTTTGTTCAGGCAAGTGCATTTTCATTTAGGCCTCGTTGGAGATTTTGTCATTTGTGTGGCAATGTATCATATTCAATGAAGTTGCAGTTCACACAAACATAGGTAGGAAGAGGAAACTGCCCAGTCTCGAAGGGTATTCGATAGATAGATAGATGTTTAATCAATAACCATGGCAGTAACACAAACTATTGCAGTTGCGACTGAAATACATGATGCTTACAAGTTAAAATATCTTATTAATAACATCAATACAAAGTTAAAACTAAGAAAAGATTTTTTACTTATTAATCTTTAAACTACTTGCTACTAAAAAGGTGTTCTTAAATCGTTCAGTTTTAAAATAAGGAATGTTTATTAATATATTGCAACGAAGGTTATAAAAGGATCAGCGCTGAATCGACTTTAGATATTAGGTTGTATAATTTATCACTAGGATTATCTAAAATTTGTTGGAAGAACTTTTTGCTCGCTTGTTTTCTTGTGTCATAGAGAGTTAATTCCCCAGATTCAATTAGAGCATCCCTATAACTAAGGTCCGTGTATATGATTGACAATGCACGCCTTTGAGTTTGTTCTATTTCATCATATAGATATTTTGGTAGAGATTGATGGAAAACTGTGGACGCATATTCAAGTACAGATCAAATGCATGACTTGTAGAACTGCATGATATCTTCCCTTTTAACATTTGCTCGTTTCAGTTGTATCAAAAGATACAAACGTTTGGAACATTTTGTAATGATGTGGTACACATGACTGTTCCACCTCAAGTCCGATCTTAAGGTCACCACTCCTGAATATCATTCACCGAGTTTTGGATCATACTAGTCTCAAATTTAGGAGCTGTTTCTGAAATCGTTAGGTCGTCAACAAACTTCGCTTGATCTACTCCAT